GACCAAGGAAATCCACCACTGGGTGTTTTTTTTAGCTGTGCCTTCTGCAGGAATGTCTGTGGATGTCCCACGGACTCTGCAGACCCAGGAATGGTCACTGGCTCCAAAAGAGACACAGGGAGGCTTGTGCTGATGGGAGCAACACAAACACAGTCCTGGAGACCACAGGTTCTGGTGCTGCTGTGAGGGAAAATGCTGTTCTCATGTTGACAGTGTGCCTGTGCAGGGATGGAAAAGCTCTGGAATAGCACTTTTGACTCGCTCTTGCCAGGGATAAATCACTCAATAAATGTCATCTCTTCCTCGGGAATCCTTCTATTTATCTGCCACTTGTGGGTTTGCTTCACTGTGCCTGATTGCACTAAGGACTGGGTGGCTCTGTGGACCCAGACACAGCCATTCCCTGGCCATTCCCAGAGGGGTAAACAGCCCTTTGGGAGTGAAGCAGCACTTCCAGTGTGTCCTCATTGTGTGTTTTATTTCCCAGGACAGAACTGGTACCAGGATGAAACAGGGGGAAAATGTCTTCACTGAAAGAGGGGTGAAGCACCGGGGTCACCGTCCCTGGGAGGGTTCACAACACAGATGTGGCACTTCAGGATGGGGTTTGCTGGGCACAGGGGGTTGGGTCAATCATTGGACTTGTCTTGGAGGTGTTTTCCAACCTTAATGGTTCTGTGATTCCATGATGCTCCATGCAGAGCCTGCAGTGATTATCCCTCACTTCAAGAAGGAGCTGAGGCTTTGCCGTGGGAGTAGGGCTGGCCAGGGAGGAGAGCCCTTGGTGCTGCACGAGCTGGAGCACTCCTGGTGCTGCACTGAGCAGCCTCTCCTTGGAAGGATAAATCCCTGTCATACCCTGTGCAGACAAGCGTAATTATGCTTAGGCACCCAGCATCATCCTCTACAGAGTTATTTTCATTGGTGGCAATTATTCTCCAGTCCTATTTTTGAAGGTGAAGAAGTGACTAAGTTTGCACGTTTGCCAGGGAGTGTGGGCACGTGACCTGAAATATGGCAGCTCCTTTAATGCAGCATCTCCCAAGAGAACAGGGGCTATTTCAGGCTCATCCCTCAAAGCATTGACATCCCCACACGCAGCCAAGGGAGCATCTGTACCTCCCTGACATCCCCACTCTCAGGTTGCTTTCCTTATTGATGGTCTAGTTAAAGTCTCTGTATCATGTTGACGTTTTAATGGCATATGCATTTACAGTGGAGCGCTTGTGTAAGCTTTAATCAGCTCTCTGTTCACATGTTGTTGCTGTTATTATTTATCTCTATTATGGTAACACACAACAAGAGCAGGATTAGACTGTGCTAGGCTGGGCTTGTGTTTTTAGGATGGTCCCTCCAAGCCCAGGGGAGAAGGTGCTGATGATCCCGAAGTGCAGCGGGATCCTGTGGCTCTGAGCCTGCATCTTTGCCCTTCATCTCAGGAACTGGAGTCACTGTCACAACCAGCCAGCATTTGCCACACTGGTGGATATAGAAAAAAAAACATCTTGGTTGCTGAAGTCTTTGGTTTCTTCTGGTTTTTAGTTTTCTAGCAGGAGCTGCTGCCCCCCAATCCTGAGCTGGTTACAGTCGAGTGGTCTCTCACTCCAGCAGTCTCAGACTTGAGTGAGCCTGTTGAGCCCAGTGGAGTTAATTGCATGAGTAAGGACTTGGATTGAGCTCATCACCTCTGCATCTGCTACCTGTGCAGAGGTTCAGAAGTTATCCCAGCGCAGATCTCTGTTACCGTATAAATATCACATCATGTTGCAGTGAAATGACACAGGTGAGGAATTCACTTCCAACTTCAGTCTGTCACTGCAATATGGGACCCAAAGGAAAGAGGGGAAGAAAACCAGTAGGAAGTGATAAACTCTGAGCAACACAGATCTTATTTTCACGTGGGGTTAAGGCAGGGGGATATTTCATTATCACAAGTTTTACACTAACACGTTGCCAATGATTTCCACTCAATTCCCTTTGCAGTTAATCAGCAGTGGATGAACTGATAGTGCATGAAACGGCCCTGCTCAGTGTGACAAACACAGGGCTTGAGCTGGTGGCTGAAAGCAGGAAACATTTACCATCTGAGGCAAAGACTTAAATCTAGAGGAGTCCAACCTGTCACTGAGTGCGTGTGATCCCATCAGCAGTGAGACAACAGGGTGTTCTCCTTGGTTATACACACACACACACTGTGACTGGTTTCAGACCTTCCAGAGAACTGTGGTCAATCCCTGCAAGTAGTTTCAGGAACAGAAAAGAAGCAAAGGCTGTGTCAGGCATTGGCAGTGACACTCTACAAGCCTCATCTTGAGCTAATTCTATTTTTTCTGTCTTCCATGAGCTTTCAGATGTACTTTAATCCTCATTTTTATGTTCTCTCCTTAATAAATCCCCATGAAATTCACATTCTTAGCAGCTGTATGGTATGCCAAGCTGCTTTATTTCATAGGGTGCTTAAACCATTTGGGCTCACTGCTTTGTGCAATGTGCACTCACTGATGCCTTCACTGAGAAGCCTTTGGAAAATTCTTTTCCAGTTTGGTTTTTTTTTTTTTTTCATTATTTCTTTTATGATTTTCCAACCAACGAGAGGAATTTCTGCTCTTCCCTTCAGCGCTTTTGCTCTTCCCTTTGGCTGGATTGTGGAGTGAACTTTGGGACATGGAGAAAGCAACTAAATATCAATAGTAAATAAGTGTTCAAATAAGAGGGACTTACAGAAAAGGAGCTGTGGGTGGGGGAGGCTCTGGACAGGTGAATCAAGATGCTTGAAGAGATGATGGAAAATGGTTTTCCCTCCCTATGAAGGTTTTCTTTCTCCTTCACTTTCCTGCAAAGTGAAAAACAAAAACCCCCGTGGACAAATCTGATGGTTGGAGCACCCACCTGAGACAGGGAGGAGCAAGGATAGAATCACCTCTTCTAAAGAGTGTTATTTATTCATATTAAGGAAATTAATTGCAGCTGGAATTGTACCAGCCCAGAACAAGGCAGAGTCTGCAGTTGGGGCTCTGATGTGAGGTGTGGCACAGGAGCAATGGAGTTCCCAGAACAGGCAGGGTGAAGTTCAGTCCCTGAATTCCACTTGCCCACGCTCAGGGCTCTCAGCTGTGCTTGTGTAGTTCGGATTTGTGCCCTTGTGGAGGTGCAGAACTGCATCCCTTGATGTCCAAGTTCTGCAGAAAACAAATCAGTGTTTCTGGAATGGAAATTGCTGGGAAGCTCCATCAGCTCCTGCAGCTTTGCTCGCTGCCCCAGAAGGCTCACAGAGTGTCTGTGTGAAATAAAGATAGATCACCTCTTTCCACAGATTCTCTGTAATAATTTGAGCCTTATAAAGAGTAAGATTTTGTTTGCTGGGCTCCCAGTTGGGTTAGAGAGGAACTATCATCCCTGTTTGCAGCTGGGGGAGAAGTGAGGCAAAGCAATAAACCGTGTGATGGGAGGCAGGAGCATCATCCTGCTCATGCCCAGGAATTTGCTTTCTGCAGGACATGTAAACCAGCTCTCTGCACCTGCATCCTCTAAGACCCTGCAGATCCTTTTGGAGACCCTGGAATTGCCTTCTGTGGGTTTATGTTGGCCTTTAACACTTGCTCGAGAAACATAAGTTTGTAAACTGTTGATCAGCAGTGCAGGTGGAATAATGTCTCTCTGCTTCCTCTGCTGGGTATCCTCAGAGTGTCTGACCAAGGAGTATCCCTCTTCCCAAAATGAAGGATAAAATCACTGCCAAAATTAACTGATAGATGATGTTTTCCAGCGTGGGTTCATAGCCATGTACTGTAGAAGGAGAGGGCTATGGAATTTGCTGGACAAAAGCATCAGGCTTAAGTGAGCTTTACATTTACCTCACTAATCCTGGAAACAGATCCAGGCCTGGGAAGCAGCACCTGGGGATTAGTGTGCACGTTTGCAAACAAAAGTGGTTGTGGAGAGGGCTCTGTTGCTGGGATTGCTGTCCCCTCTCCTGCCTGGCAGTGGGTTTCACACGAGCAGGAGGGTTGTAGGTGTGACTGAAACACAGTGCACAGCTCAGACAGGTGTTGTGCGGGTGCCAATTGCTGTTCCTGTAACAAATAGGGACAAACTGCTCCTCTAATGCTGACTTCCCTCTCTCATCCTCCTAAAAAGAGGAGAAGGGATCAGGCAGGACTGTCACATGAAGGGTTCTCACTGTACCTTGATTCCTTCTGTAGGCAACCTCCTCTCCCTGTCAGTGGCCAGAAGGTTTGGGGTCCGTCTGTGTTCCTGTTACTGGCACAGGAATTACCTGACATACACATTCCATACCTTCATCCCTAAGCTTGGGCAGCCTCAGGTCATCCTGTCTCCAGTGTTATTTTCTTCCTTGCCCTCTGTTTAGTCTGGACAATACAAAAAAACTAAATTAATTTTTAAAAATCCACAAGGAACAAAACAAACGAAAAGCAAAACAACAACAGCAAAACTAAACCAAAAAACAAAATAACAACAACAACAAAAAATCAAACCCAACACAAAAACAACCACCACTAAAAAAAAAGAAAACAAATCCAAAACAAAAACAAGAAAACCAACAGCAAGGAGCAAACCTTCTTTAGATTATCTTATTTATTATCTTACAGGAACAGTACAAAGACACAGTGTTTGATGACATTATTAAACGGACGGGATTTGCTGGGCAGTGCCACCTGCCATTAACCGGTCTGCAGGCGGGATGTCATCCTCTGCCTCTACTTCCACTATAAACTCACTCCTTCCAGCTACCTAAGAGCACTAAGAAACAGGATATTAAAAGATTTCGGTGCTGATGCAATAAGGGCGTTAAACAAGTCCTCAGCCGTCGGTGCCCCGGCCGCGCCGTCGCCTCCTCGCGCGCCGGGCCCTTTGGGGAGTCTGGTGGCGCTTCTGGAAAGTTCCGGCACCCGCTCTGTGCCGTCTGTGGGGCTGGGGGTGGGATGCTGGGACCGCTCTGCGCTCTCCAGGAGGGTAAAGCTGTGTGTGTGTGTTTGCAGGCTGTGACAGCGAGCACTGGGGGCCCCACTGCAGCAACCGCTGCCAGTGCCAGAACGACGCGCTCTGCAACCCCATCACGGGCGCCTGCGTGTGCGCCGACGGCTTCCGCGGCTGGCGCTGCGAGGAGCTCTGCGACCCCGGCACCTACGGCAAGGGCTGCCAGCTCCAGTGCCAGTGCCACCACGGGGCCACCTGCGACCACCAGACCGGAGAGTGCCACTGCGCGCCCGGATACACCGGAGTCTTGTGAGTGCCGCCGCCGGGCCGGGACGGGCTTGGGACGCGTCGGGGGCAAAACGGGCACGGGGGGTTTTGTGCTCGCCTTCGGGGAAATCAGCTGGCAGGAGAGAGATTAAATCGAGGAAATCTCTCTTTTTTGCTGCTGGTTAGAGCTGCCTGCAGCACCTGAAGGAGCTCCGAGAGAGCTGGACAGGGTATGCAGTGATATAACAAAGCGCCAGAGGGCAGGTTTAAGGTGAGATATTGGGAAGAAATCCTTCCCTGTGAGGGTGGGCAGGCCCTGGCACAGGTTGCCCAGAGAAGGTTTGGTTGCCCCATCCCTGGAAGTGTCCAAGGCCAGGTTGGACAGAGCTTGGAGCAACCTGTTCTGGTGGAAGGTGTCCCTGCCCGTGGCAGGCGGTAAAACCAGATGATCTTTAAGGCCCCTTCCAACCCAAACCATTCCAGGATGATATGATTCTCTCATCATGAAATACAATACAGTGCTAAAACAAGCTTTAAAACCCCTTATATTTTCCAGCTTGTGCAACAACAACTCTACCTGTCCTTAATTTCAGAATGTGAATACAATCCACATTACAGCTGAGTTTTTATAAGCAATTGGACTCTCCTCATTAGCAGTCCAGTGCAGTATCAAATGGGACTTAACCATCCCCAATTTATTTGACTTTCAATCTAACTGAGAAAGCATTGCTGTTAACTATATCAGCTTACTATCTAGGGGGTAGATTTTAAGCCTGGTGAGCAGGGATTTAGCCGTGTGACTCCTATTAACTTCAATGAGAACCGTGTAGCTAAATCCCCATCCACCACGTGGAAGGTTTACCAGTAGGATTCACAAAATCTGCATATTAATTCCAGGACAGCAAGCAATAGTTCCTTGTTTAAAATTGCCCACAGTGTAACATCAGTTCTCATTAGAGATCTTTCAGCAGTTTCAGAAGTAATTATGTTTTTCGGAATTATTTAAGGGGAAAAGAGAATTTAGTCACTGAATTTGGCTGGAGATCTATTACAGGTGGCTTAATACTTTTGCAGTCTATTATTATTTGTTGACCTGCAAGGAGGGGAAGATAAAAACTAAAGACAGTGTTAACCCTCATAAATAAGTGATACGCCTTTTGAATATTTTATTTAGTACCTGATTTCCTCATGGGCTTGTGACCTCAGCTGTGGAAGCACTCCCTGCTAAAGACTTTGCACATTATTAGGAGTGCTCCCCCTGACACCAGTGTGTCAGTTCTCAGCAGGGCCAACCCCTGATAGGTGGTAGGAACATCCTCATCAGGGGCCAGTCAATTAGGAGAAGAACACTCTGTAGTTTCAGAACCTCGATGCTGACAGCACCAGTGTAGGAGACAGTGTTTTTGCAGGGATTAGCCTTACACCCCCTCCCCACGAGTACTGAGAGAGGCTCAATGAGCTTAAATAGCCTTTAAATGATGTTGAGTCCTTGCCAGTCCATTATACACTGCAAATGTTAACATTCAGTAGTGACTGGAGAAATTTCAAGCATTTTAATCCCCTCCTTTTATTCTATTTGCAGTTTCTTTTATTGCCACGCCACATAACTCACATTGAAGGCCTCATCTTGCAGCTCGTATTTTCCTGGGCTGTTTTGATGGTTATGAGTTGTCCTGTTGAGATGGGTGGAATTTGGGACGTGCAGGAAGGTTCCACACGTGCATCAGCCTTCCAGGGTTGTATCCACGGCTTGTAAACACCCCCAGCAGAAATTTAAGGACTCTTGGCCGCTCGGCGGTGCCAGCTGAGGTTTCGGCGGTGGGTTTTCCTCCTGTGGTGATCTCTTGGTGTTTGTGGTTGTGTCCCCCCAGCTGTGAGGAGCTGTGTCCCCCCGGCAGCCACGGAGCCCAGTGCGAGCTGCGCTGCCCCTGCCAGAACGGCGGCGTCTGCCACCACATCACCGGGGAGTGCTCCTGCCCCGCGGGATGGACGGTGGGTACCACTCACACACTGCCCCCCTCGGGGCCTGCCAGAGGATGAGCTGGCCGTTTAACTGCTCACTGTCTCAGCTGATGGTTCCCTGAGTGCCTGTCCTGTGTCTCTGCTGGTATTTGTGTTATTTGTGTTGCAAGGTGTTCAGGAAACACGTGGATGTGGCACTCGGGGACCTGGTGTAGTGGTGGCCTTGGCAGAGCTGGTTGGGACTCAATGATCTTAGAGGGTTTTTCCAGCCTAAGTGGTTCTGGGATTCTCTGACTGGTATCTGCCATCAGAAAGTTTAAAAATCAACGGCAAACCAAGAGCCAAAGGGGTTGTCTCTGAGTTCCAGTTCCTTGGAATATTCCCTGCAGCCCTGGACACTGCCCTCACACAGGACAGAAAGCTCAGAGCTTGAGCATTGTCAAGGGCACAGATTGTCCTGTTCCCCCTCAGGAGAGAGGGAAAGGGAGACTCAGGGAATTCAGTGGCTCAGGCTGTCAGCAAAGCAGGATTGAACCCCGGACAGAGGGTCAGCTCGGTGTCCTGCCCTTCCTCAGGCATCATTCCCATTGATTGCCATAGATCTGCTTACACCAGGGCTTGCTCTGGAGAGAGACAATCTCTAACCTTTAATCCTCTGTGTCAGGAAAGCAAGGCCAAACATTTTTCAAGTCCTCAACGGTACCAATAATGCAATAATTGGCTCCCTTGGGGTTTGCCAAGTCTCACGGGCCTTGGGACCATTTAGCTGTACTGAATTTCCTGGCATTTTTCCTCTATCTGACAATTAGTCTCTTGGCAAACTGGCTGGATTTTAATGCCTGCGAGTGCTCTGAATTTTTATTTTCACATGGAGGGCCCCGCACATCGTCAGGCAAACGTTGTGTGGCTTCTGCTGGGGACCTTCTACCTGCTGGAAGATGGGAGAGCTGAGAGAGCTGGTTAAGTTCCTGTACATCCATCAAATGCTGCCTCCATTTGGTCACAGCTGCTCTGAGTTCAGAAGTAGCAACCACGAGGAGCTGCTGACTTGGGAGAGCGTGGGAGAAGAATTGTTGCCCGTAATTTTGGGTGGAAGCTGTGTCTGGAAAAATCTCTTTTTAACTGCAGAGTTAGAGTCTCTCTGCCTTGGCTTTTCAGAAGCTTAGGTATGAATGTGGCACCTTACCCTCCCCTGGCCTTCAGTGGAGGCACAGGAAAGGTTCTTTCCTTGAGTGGGGGGAGCTAAAGGAAGGAATTCACGTATTTTTGAGAGCCTATCAGTCCATTCTGTGGATTGTGATCAGTGAAGTTGATTAACATAAAAACATACCTTTTTCCATCTCCTCTTCTGCGTGCCAAGGTTCCTCAGAGTCTGAGCTGGTTTGCTGTACCCTTCCTTAACTGTGTTTCATCAGGAGTTTTCTTTGTCAAAGTTAAACCCTCAGCAAACAGATAAAAATATCAGAATGGAACAGGAATTTTTACATGTCTTTAAGGATGCAGCAGAGACCTCAAAGAAGAGCCCCAGCACTGGGGCTGCACAGCAGCTCTGGTTGTATCCTGGCCCACTCCTGCCCAGTTCTTACAGCCTGGAGTTTCTTCTTTGCATTTTTAGGAGCCCAGAGAGACTTTTCTGAAAACTGTGTTGTTGGCTGCTCTGTCCCCAGAGGAACCCTGGAGTTAACAATTGATGTCTGAAACGAGCATAGCTGAAAACTGAAGAGAGAGATCAAGTATTCTGCAGAAAGAAACTGAAATTATAAGTAAAAGCACTCAGCTTGTAAATGTTGAGATTTTAAGTATAAAGGGTCTCTCCAGGGTTTTAATGAAAAGCTGGTAATTCAGTACACAGAGAGGGATAAAACATGGGGTTTTTTTTTTCATGCTATATTTTTAACTCTTGGTGGTTGGAATGGTTTGGGAAGTGAGACATGAGGGGGCTGTGAATGAGCAGGCGAGCTGGGATTGCTAGACAGCATTCATTTTACTTCACACCGTGGATTTTCTTTGACACCAGGAATTTTACTTGCTGATTTTTGAGGCTTGAGACTGCATGTCTGTATTGAATATACCATCATTTTGAAAGGAGAGAATTCTTCCTGGATTTATACAAGTGCAGATCCACTTGGACTTTATTGCTGCTGGATGAGCTGCAACTTTTTATCCTTTCCTGGGCAGGTTTATTAACAGGGGCTCAGCTCTCTTGGGGGCTTGGTGGGATATGCAGGGAGTTGAACAGGAGGAAGTTCTGGAGTTCTGAGCTTCTTCCTTGGATGTTCCATCTCCAAAGCCTGGTTCTTTCATGACTTGTGGTTTCTTTCCTCCCACCCAGTGCAGAATCTCCCAGAGGAACCAGGGGTATGGATGATGTCCTGGGGGATCTTGCTGTCCCCAGGGTTTTTCACCAAGAGGATGGTGGCTGACAGCATATATTGTTGAGCCAGTCACCAGGACGTGGCTGCCAGCATCCCACAACTTTGGGCTTTTTCCACTTGTGTGCCTTTGTGGCTGTGGGAGTTAGTGGGAGGCTGCTTTAGGGTCTCATTAACAATTTACAGGTTTAATTCTATACATCTTTCTCATTTGCAGTATTAAATTCTCCAAGCAGTCTCAGGAAGCAGGGAGAGGAGTTAATTTAGCATTTACAGTGCTTCTCAGAAGCCCTTTTGAAGGACCAGATCTCTGTGCTCAGGAGAGCTGCAATCTTTCCTGGCACGACAGAACATTTGTCACTGGCAACACACCCTGCTCGGTCCCAGACCATCGTGGGGCCGTGTTAATAAAGCACATTCTGCTGATCAGTTCTTTCTCATTGATTCTGGCCTTTATGAAACAGCAGCAATTTGTATTTTTACGTGGTTTTCTTTCTGTGCTGGTTTTCAAACAGGGGGTTATATGAGAAAATGGAGCAGAAAGAAATCTTTTCCGTCCCACAAAATACAGCAAACGATGTCAAAAGCAGAGGCTGATGAGATCAGGGCCTTAAAAAAGGTGCTGATGGGGTGAACTTTGCTGATTAGATGTATAAGCAGCAGGAAATGTTGGGCTGACATTTGATCCTCCTGAGAGGGATGTTTTGAATTCCCTGAGTACATATTAATGCAAAAACTGCTCCTGAAGATCCTCTTGGCTCCGGGGGGATGCATCCCAGAGTATTGCTTTCTCATCATTTGCTGATAGAAATCCTGTTCCTTTGGAGACATGAAGGGAGAAAGTATTTATTATCAAGATAAATGGACACTTAGGTTTTCTGATATATAGTGTTGTGTATTACTCAAGTCCAGAGACACCGGTTTTTAACGCTGTAATCTGAAAGTTCTTGAACTGAGGCCAACCTGGCTGTTTTACGGCCCAGCAGCCACCTCTCCCTGCTCAGGAAAGGCTCAAAGTGTCTGTTTTATGGTGGCTTTTGAAGAGCAGCCTCTCCACTTTGGGCTTGTTGATACAGCTCAACTTCCCCAGCCCCAAGGAGTGAAAGCAGCCTTTATATTCCTGGTTTAAATTTTGGATAAATCGGGCCTAATATTGGTTTTTGTTTAAAACCCAGAGCCCTCAGGGTTTGCTGGGGGAAACAAGGCTTCTGAGAGATTAAACCAAATAATCCCAGGGCCAGACAAACACCGTTTCTGTCTCACTCTGGGCACTGTGGTGGCACTGGCAGCAGCACCACTCGCTGCAGGCGCCAAACATTTTCCATTCTAGGACCACAACTTCAGCTCCCAGCGCTGCCAGCCTTGTTTTGGCTGGAGTTCCTCAGCTGGATCCCAGCCCTGGGCTTTATGTTTGCTCCCAGAAAAAAATACAACAAAACATTCGTGCAACTTCTAAGAAAGTCTGGGGAAATCCCTGTAAGGCTCTGAGACTTGGCAGGGGACATTATGGGATAGCTGGGGGAGTAGAAGCACCTGAGTTGGGCAGGTGAATGCTCCAAAGACGTGACCTCAACCAGCAGTGAGCATTCCCTGCCTTGGGGCCGAGCAGCTGGAGCGAGGCTTGCCTGGGAATTGCTTTTCCTTGGTCAGCAGTGCCAGGGTGCCCAGCAGTGCCAGCCTGTCTGTGCTTCCCTGGTTAAACAGGGAGGCAAAGGAGGAAACAACTCACACGTGGGGATTTGGGTCCAGATGAAGGAGGGCACTAAAAGGGAGTCTGCAACAAGGATTTAGGGAGGACTGGAATAAAAAGGCAGGAGGGCAGAGGGCTGGGAGCATGAAATGGGGAAAGGAGGACACCAGCAAGATGTGGAGTTGAGGCAGGTCAGGGACTCAGAAAGGACTCCAGGGTTGGGGATGAGGAGCTGGGAGGGTGGTGGATGAGGCATCCTGCTGATGTTCAGGGATTAGGCAGGTAATTCCACTGCAGAATCCCTTCTTCTGGCCAGGGGCTGCTGCACTGCTGATGTGATGCTTCTGTGTCATCACTGGGGGCTTTCTGCAACTATCCCAGCCTTTGTTTTCATCCTGCCCCCTCCATGGCTTACACAGAGCACGGCAGAGGCCACTCTGTGCTGAGTGTGGGGCTGGTGGGAGCAGAGGGAATGGAGTAGGTGGGACCTGAGGAGCAGTACAGGACTCCTCCAGCAGCTGTATTTGGTCTTCTTTGTGGTTGGCTGAAGAGGGACTTTCTGAACAAGGGAGATGATCACAGACTATCAAAACTCCCACCGCTTCATCCTCTCAGTGCAACCTTCCCAGTAATCTCTTCCTTCCCAAATGTTCTCCACTCAGGCTGTGTCCAACAACATTTCAGCCTCTCAGCAACACTTCACAAAACCCCACCAGCACATACAGGTTTGCAGCCTCCTCTGGTTGCTTTTATCCTCTCCCAAACCTTCCTGGCCCTTTACAAGGGGCAGTGAATCTCCTGCCACCTCAGCTGCAGTTTACAGGGAGATGCAGAGGAGAGAATTATCAGGGAGTGGACAGTGGTGAGAAAAATCCCTCCTGGAGTCAGAGCAGACAGGCATTTACTCTGGTAGCAGAGTTTTCAGATCGTCTTTAGCGCATCTTCTGCAGATAAAATATTGCTGCTACACTCACTCCCGGGTTTAGCAAGAAGGACAGTAAAAATCTCAGCTGCATATAGAAATTTATTGCATTATGAATGTTGACTGAAATACTGCTCTCTCTGCAACATTACCAGGGGCTGGTGTGTGCACAGCCGTGTCCTCCTGGAACCTTTGGAATCAACTGCAGCCAGGACTGTCCGTGCCACAACGGAGGACACTGTGACCCCGTGACAGGAAAATGCATCTGCACAGCTGGCTATATAGGAGACAGGTAAAAAACCAACCCCCCAAAAGCCTCTCATTTTAACCAGGGATTGTCAATATTTATATCCCTTCTAGGACAATCTTCCCCTCTGAAAAATGGTGTTGTGTTTCTACTGCTCCAATTAGGTTCATCCTTCTGAAGCACTTCAAGCAATATAAACGTGGCAATGTTATTACTTTTTATTGGCAATGCTCTCCATTTACAGGGGGTTTTAATATAACTTTTAAAATTTAATGGATTAAATTTAATTTAGATATTTACAGTGATAAATTTAATAGAGAGCATTACATGTTTACAAGATATGTAAATGAACTATCTTTGTACAAATTAATATCCTCAAGAGTAAGCAACACAGCAAGTTTAATGTCTCCTTCAGCCCTCTGTGCTGCTGTAGCACTGATCCATCTCAGCCACCAGCAAAAGGTGATAAATCCTCCAAATTTATAAACGAGAGCCTTCACCCATGAATCGATCAGAGGAGATGATAATATTGTTTTACCAAGGTGTCACGGATTCAGCAAAATGACTGCACAGCAAAGTCAATGAGGGATTGCAGCACGTGCTGGCTCAGCCCTCCAGCTGGTCCTGCTGCCAGAGGTTGGGAAGTGCAGTTCAGGCAGCTCCTGGGGCAGCTCTCACCAGGGCTGGGCTGAGGCACCGCTGGGCACAGCTCACCAGTGTGTGCTCTGCTAAACCCTTCCTCCTGGGTGCTCCCTGCTTTTATTATGAGCTGGAGGAAGCTCATCTCCATGTACTGACAGATGCTCCAATTCCACTTGGATGCAGCACAGCTCACTGGAGTTTCTCCTCTGTTGCTCTCTGTGTTACCAGCAGGTCTCTGCAGCCCTTGGGGTGTCAGGAGGCTGCTCCTCCCCTCACACATGGAACTGCCTTCATTCCATTCCATGGACAGTGATATTGGAGGAGGCTCAGGGTTTTTTTGGGGTTGGATGTGGTGGAAATACCAACTACTTCATAATCATTGAGTGGAGAAGACACTGGTGTGACTCTGTTCCCCATCCTCCATCTGGAGAAATGGAAATACTTCCAGCCATGGGCTACCATGTCATTGCTGCTTCTCTCCTTGTGCAGGCTTTTGGAAGCAACTGTGGGCTCTTCAGATCTGGGCCAGGAGAAAAGTGGGAGGCATTTGGACTCCAAAGAAAGATGTTTCTTGGGAAGACAGAAGCAGGGAGGGAAAAAAATAAGGCAGAACCAGTTGGGAGAGGTGAAAAAGAAGGGAGGGAAGGTCACATTGTGGACCTGTATCCACCAGAGTTACTGTGAGCAGGAGAAGCTGCTGCACCACAAAACAGTTTCCTTTCGTGTCTTACAAGGCGCTGAAGAAATCTTCTTAATAATAACTGATGTTGTGAATAACAGCAATAAAAATATAAATACACTTTGCCTACCATCATCTTTAAATTATCAGTAAGTACTGTATAATGCTCCAGTTCATCGTGGTGTGCAGGAGATAATAACAGAGAGTTAGATAAATATCTGTGCAGATGGAATGGCCAGAGAGGGCTGTGTGAGGGTAATTGCCACACTTTTGTTCCCTACCTGTTTTCCAAGAGTGGCACTGCACTAAATCTCCAGGAAATTGGCAGGCGCTGTTAATAACTGCAGGATGCTTTGTGCTCTCAGAAATGACTGGATCTGTCAAGGAAATGTATGTTTTACAAACTGGAAAGGAATAATAGCAGAGGCACAGTTAGAAGCCGAGGATGGGGTGTCTCACAATTCAGTGCCTGACAGGAAAAGTGAACCTGCTGGTTTAGCTTTGTTTTCCATTTTGCCACTGACTCTAAAGATTGAGTCTTAGCAGAATAAATATCACATTTCTTAGAACGATATGAGCAGATTTGTTCTGTTGTTGTGTTTGTGGCTGGATCTCTTACCTCCTGGTTAGTGTGTTTTGGATGGCTTTCCATATTTATCTGTGCTACATAAACATGATCACTGTTTCAAAACAAAGACAGAGAAAAACCCAACAAACTTCACAGCGTCATTCCTTAACAAAGGAGAAATTATGGAAAAAAATGTAGGTACGTGCGCTAAGTTCATCTGTTAAGCAGCCTGTCTTCTGTTTAATATTTTGTGAAATTGCTTCCATTAATTCTACAGGTGACAGCCATATTATCCTATCCCAACCCAAATAATTATAGTACATATTAAAGTTCAGTGGGTATTATAATACGAATCTCCCCAGATAGGCAGAAAGCAATGTAAATTAAACAAGAAACATAACTAGGGCTTAGCAGCTCATTTTGTAATTTAATTGAACAATGTATCTGCTTGTTAATGGTGCTATGGACACATTAGATTGATATGTTGCAAAGGAAAGATGTTTAAGTAGAAAGCTAATTCCTGCTGTGATTATTCTCATGTTCCAGAGGAGTCATTATTAGTATTCTTTGTATAAAATTCATTAGCGGGAGCTGCTTGATCTCCAAATAAATAAGTTGGTTAAATTGTTAGTAGAAAAAGGCTAATTATGTAAATGGATTAGGTCGTCAATATTTCATTTCCAGATGCTTTTCTCCCCGCTAGGTAATGCTTCATCTTCTCTAAATATGGAGTGATCCAGAGCACTATTGACTGAGTGCTGATCCCGTGGAGGACAGCAGAGCCCTCCTGACGAGCAGGGCCTGGGCAGCAGCGGGGAATGAGGAGCTCAGTCCCCTCCTCTCGCAGTTCCTCTGCTTTGACTGTTCCAGCCCCACTGCTCCCCTTTCCTTGCTGGTTCTTCTGCTTCTCCAGGCTCTTTTCCCGGGGTCTCCCATGAACTCCTCCCCCTGGATTTGGAGCCCCAGCTGTGGTGGTGGCTGCTGGGGTCAAGTCCCTGGCTGGGCCCTTCGCTGCGTTCGTTTAGTTGGAGGAAAACGAGATAATCTGAAGCTGCAGAAGTGGTGCCCTTCTTATGTACTGCCCGTGCTCGCTGCAGTTTTGCCTGCCTTGCATCACACATTAATCTTTTATTACTGATCATTATATTAACTCTCACCTGCCAGCTGTGAAATGACCTGCAGAAAAGACATTTAACAGTTGCCTCCATCCACTGAGTTTACAGTATACACTTTAATCAATGCTCAGGCTTAAATTAATGCTGATAGGCAATTTCCAGTGTCTGGCATCCCTGTGATAAGGGAATTGGGCTTTTCTGGCCTTCTTTTGCTGTTTTTATGAACTGAAAAGGCCTGTCTGTATTTCACGGTGGATCACGTAAACTGTAGGACTGTTCCTCATGGCAGGATTTCAAGACCACTGAATTATGTCCAGCACAGAATCAGCTGCTTTTCTTTAGGACCTTAGCTGAGCTTTATCAAAGTAGAAAATAGTATGAACTCCTAAATTGGTTGTGTAGGACAAGGAGACAGATATGAGGATGTATCCAGTAGGGAAATATTTAAAACAGTGCATGGAAGGTGCAGTTTAAAGCAATCTGTGTAGAGTGTTTGCAGGTTCCATTTTTGGGTGTATCAAATATTAAAGCCGGCAATTTCGAAGAAGGTTCTTCACTAAGGAGCGTGAAAGTGATTTTTATTGGGATTTTATACTACTGAGCAGCCCTGGAGTAGGAGAAGAAAGGTAAATTTAAGCCTTTAGTTACTCAGAACACACACAGAAGACAAAGGAGTTTGTTGGTGTAAAGCTGATGCAATGACAGCAAAGAGGGCACGTAAAGCTGGAGGAACTTTGCTCAGTATTGCTTAGGCCACATTCCCTTTGAGCCCTTCATCGTCACTAGGAGGATCATGTGCTTTCAGGGAAGTCCTTCTGTGATAAAGACAAAACAAACAGGTGAGGGTTTTCCTTTTTTTAATAATTTATCCCACATCGATTTCTTATGGCTGGTGAGTGGAATTGTCGAGGTCCAGGAGAAAAGAATGCCCTTTGTAAACGAAGGAAATATTCACTAATGCAAATGTTGCAGATACAGTTGGGCAGAGATTACTGCAGTTTCAGCTGACAGCCATTGCCACACCCAGGATATCACATCACATGACCCCAACGAGATCATGAGCAGTGGTTTTGTGTTTAGTTGATTAGCAGAGACACTCCTGTGTGGGAGGCTGCAGCTCTGACTGGCTGCCCTGTTGCCCTGCAGGTGTCAGGAGGAGTGTCCCATCGGCACCTACGGCTTCCAGTGCTCCCAAACCTGCGACTGCCAGAACGGGGCCAAGTGTTACCACGTCAATGGAGCCTGTATCTGTGAGCCTGGCTTCAAAGGCATTTACTGCCAAGAAAGGATGTGTCCAGAAGGGTTTTACGGCCTCAAATGCAACAAGAGATGCCCTTGCAATGTTACCAACACCCTCAGGTATGTACGTCATGTGATGCTGCAGTGCAGGGACTGGTCAAGGGGAAGGATGGGGAAGGGTTCAATTAACTGCACACACTGCCTTTTTCTCTGTAGTTTTAAGTACAAACACAGAGAGTTGCTCTGAACTCCAAAGCTTGGATTGAAGTGACCTCAGGTTTGGAACCACAAGCCACAGTCCAGCCATCTGCTGAGCACAGATCTGTTAACAGCTCTGGCAACATCTGAAACAACCTGACACACAGCTTTATCCTGTAACTGAAGTCTTAGAGGCATAGGCACCATCAGGTGATGCCCATATGTAATGTGTAATAACCCCCTGAAGTTTTAAAAATAGAGATATGTTTACTCAAATCCATCACTTTGGCTTTTTTTTATGCCATGGCTTTTCTCGTTAGATCTGCAGACAGCAAGGGGACTTTCAAAATGAAACCTCATTTGCTTCAGTTTATGTCTCGTGGCAAATTACCCTGTTGCAAACACTTGAGGCAGATGTATAAATAGACTGAAATCAATATCCCTGAGTCAGTCTGTGGAACTGTAACACGGTCGACATTGTCAAAACAGACTCCTCATGTGAGCCTATTTCTGCTCCTCATTCACCATGTGTGTGTGGGGGGGAAATGCTCAGGAAAATAAATACCAGGGAATTGTACCTACAGTGGAATCAGCCTCGCTGAAAAGGTCGGGTTTTGATGTCTTATTCCCTTTATTTTGCTTTTTTTTTTTTAGAATCTTATTCTTGAGGTTCTCATTACTAAGAGCCAGAGCCACTTGAGCACCTTGAGTTGGCTTTCCTGTTGCAGGCTTGAATGAGTCTTCCAAACCTTGGAAAAAAATAAGGGAAGAATTTAAGGCTCTTCCCTATTATCCTCTTTGTTACCTTTTGTAACTCTTTGCCTTGTTTACCTGCTGCTGGAATTGCTGTTTGGAGATTCCTCACTCCCTCACCCGCAGTAAAGGAGCCTGGACAGCCAAACCCTGCGCTGTCTGATGGACCGGAGTGCCACATTCCTCACCTGCTCCATGCTGAGCCCCTGGGCTCCCACTGCATTCCCCCCCCTTCCTGCCCATTCCTCTCCAGCAGGCAGAGCCAATTTAGGGTTGTGTGTGCTTCAGAGGGAGGTGGGATAACTGATGCCCAAGCAAACATGCCCTTGGTACAGACATTCCTCAATTTCCAACCAGACAGGTGGGGACCTGACTGTCCTGCAGATGATGACAGACCTGCCTTGGATCTTGCTGCCTGCTGAAATATAAACACTCCCAGTTATGGATGCAAGCAGCAGCAGCTAATTTGTGTGCACATTCACACTCACACACACACAAACACTTCAGGCAAATCTCTCTGTGTGCTCGAGATAGACCCTGTTTGTCTCAGTCTTGGGAGTAAACAGATGATTTTCCACGTGAATTCGACTCTGAGTGGTGAGGCTTTGTTTAACTGAAAGTCAGAGCTCACAGTGGATTATTTAAAAACTTGTAATCGTGGTGATCCAACCCCTGTGGAGCAAGAGAGCTGCAGCCCTGGTGGGTTTGACAGCCAGCACCCGAAGGGTTTGAGGCTCTGTACGACAAGGCTTCCATCGCTCCTGATTGTGCTGTGTGTCATGAAATCATTGCAAAAATAGCATCCCTGAGGCATGAGCTGCACATTCCACACCAAAGGTTAGTGCTGTGTTGTGCTGAGGATGTGGGATGTCTCAGGAGTTACTGCAGAGTGAGCTGAGGTGTAAATTCCTGCGTGTCACGCGCTGCAGCACCTGGCACTGGGCATGACTCCAGCCTGTGGTAAACACAGCCTGAATTGCTCCTCACTGTAACTGTTCTTCAGGAGTGCTGGAGGGTGAGAATATGCTCATGGACAGCAGCTGACACTGTGTCTTCACCCCTCCTGAGCCTGCAGGAACCTGCTTGTGGGCCCATATTCCCATAAAGGTGTAAATAGAGTGGAAGGACTCTGTTTACTGAGTGTAGGCCGTGGGCAAGGCTGAGCTTGGCTGATGTTTCTCAGCTTAGTGCTCAGTTCATTAAGAATCTTTTAGGTGAGTTTGAGGGTGCAGGAATTCATCCTGTGTTACTCAGAGGGGTGCTCTGAGGATTTGCCAGAGGGGCTTTCCTGAAAGAACAGACTGGTACCATCCAGCTTTGAGGAAAGAGGAGGTCTCAGATTTGAGAGAGCTCAGAAAAGTGAAGGATTGAATCCCCTCCCAACTCTTTTCTGGGCATGTGGTCGTTCCTACACACCCTGTTCCTGGTTGCTGCCTGATGGGTACATTTTATTCCTTTCCTCCCATCACTGCTCCATCAGCCTGCCTTGCAGCATCCTCGGCTGAGATGCTATCTCTGGTTCCTTAATAAATGAGTCTAGTCTCTCTATTGATAAAATCTGCCTTTTTTTCCTACATCTTATCACTGCTGTTATGGAACAAAGAGGTATCAGCAAGCTGTAGATCTGCAAATGTTCTTTCATTCATCCGTGGGATTTGAGCTTTCCACTTTTCAATGAGCTCCACGGAGCGCTGTCAATGCTGAGCCAGGGAGCGTCAGAGCTGATGGAAAATGACCTTTTCCAAAGGCACTCCCTATTTGGAACAAATCCTTTTGCTCATTGTTTAGCTCACTGTTTAACCAGTCCCATACAGGGCACTCCTCCTCCCGTTCCTCCCTGAGTGTTTATCCCTACTGGAACTGGGATCTTCCAAAGTGGTTCATTTACTGACAGCCATCTATTTTTCCCCAAAGCATTTTGAGCTGTTGGCTGCTTGTTGTGATCCCCAGGCGTGTAAAAACACTTGTAGAAGGTGAGGGAAGTTCCTGTCCCTGGTTTTGACTCATTTCATCTGGTTATTGGAGGGTTGACTGGAACAGAAAGTTCTGGGGGCTTTGAGGAGCGGGTTGAGGAGGGCCATTAAGAAGCTTCACAATCAGCTCTTCCACTTTCATAGATCTGTTTTGATGTCTGAAGAGATCAGTGTGATCATCCAGTCACCTCCAGGGTGAAGAACATCATCCAATAATTTCTGCATCAGAGCACAGGGAAAGGCACTTTGTGCAGGACGTTTGAACAACCCCACGACTGAGACTTAGAAAAGGTGATTTAGAACATGTTGGTGACTTGGACTGCCCTTCCACAGGAAAGGATACACCTGTAAAAAAAATCCTCCTCTGCAAAAAGCTCGTGTTGAGGCAGTCTGCAGTGTTGGAAAGGAATGATCCTGTCTTGGTCTTTAAAGCAGGGAGGAAAATGAACAGCTGGAATGGTCTTGTCCTCCCAGCCTTTGTGTGGAGCCAGGGCATGGAGCCTTTGGGAATGTCTTTCCAAGGTCACAGACATGAGAAGGGAAGGAGGGCATTGTGACAAAGTCGATCTTCAGAGGCTCCAATTCCTGCCTCAGCACTGACAGATTTGGAAGGACCAAATCCCCCAGAGTTTACAGGAAGTTTTGCCTTGACCTGAGTCAATAATGTGCTGTGTGAGGCTGGATTTGAAGACGTGCTGGACTGAAAGAGAGGCCCTGCAGCCTCACTGTGGCAACTTCTTCAAAGCAAGAGGCATTTTAGTAAGGAAAACTGAATGTAGTATGGACCCCAAGAGACAGAAAATACTGTTAAATAAGGATTAGGGCTGTTGCTAATGAAGATGAGATGACTGGTGCTAACGTGTAAACAGAAAGTCAGAAGATTCTCTGGGAAGAAGTTGTTTTGGCTGAAAGATGTGTGGAGAACAAATTTCAGAATTTGGAACAGACTGTGCTGTCTAAAGCATTTCTTTTCCCAATTTGCCTTAAGGAAGTTACCTGCTTTCCTGCAGTTTTCCTAAAATTAGATGCTTAAAAAACCTCAAAGGTTAAAAATGCCTTTGTGTTTTTCAGTTCAGCTGGTAAAATTCTTACAAATAAATCTTTTATTGCTGTAAGTGTGGCTCAAAAGGGATCACACAGAGGGTTGCACAGTGCAGGAGGAGCCCTGGAACGCTTTCCTTCTCAGGCAGTGGACAGCTCCATTCCCACCTCTGCGTGTCCTGGAGCTCCAGGAGCACTTGGCTGCCTGTGTTCACCCTGGGTTTTCTCCCACTGTTCCTTCCTGTGGTGCAGGAGACTTCAAGAAATGCAAGTTGTTAAAATTCAATGCAAACTACCATTGCACAGCACTGCCAAACTCTTGGAAGTGTGGGAGGTTCCCTTCCTGCTCCCAGCAAAGGTTGGAAGGCAGGTGTTAGTGGGTCTGCCTTTGGGATCCTTTTGAAACCCTCCCCTTCTCTCTCCCATGATGATGTGTCGTCATCATGAGCTGCAATGTATTTAGAGTGTAACTCTACTCACTGTCATTACTGGAAGAGTTCATACCTCCCAGTTAAGAAAAGAACGAATAGAAGAACTTAGTGCTGTTTGGTGATGTCAGCTGCAGGTCTTAAAAGGGTTTCCAAAGGGAGAAAGGCATCGTTTTAGAAATGGGAAAAATGAAGCAGAAGGAGTGAGTTAATGTGGCCAAGATTCCCTGGCAGGACTGGGGAGGGAACAGCTGCTGTCTGCAGTTTGGAAAAGCATCTCAGTCTCAGCCCTCCTCAAATCAGCGCTGCACCAGGCACCTCAATTGTCAAACAAGTGCCTTTGATTCAGGAGAGGAACAAAGCCCTGACCTGCTCAGGCTGATAACAAAACTGTCCTTGCTGCAACAGGAAGATTGCATGGATGGAGGGACCCAAACATCTGCTCGAGGTTTTGCTGGCTCACAGTCCCGTGAAAGGGCGGACGAGGCTTTAGTGGGGCTCAGTATGGTTCTACTAACCCTTGGTTTGGAGTCAAAGCCCACCCCATCTCCTGCAGGTTCTGCTGCAGAGCCTGTTTGCTTTTTCATTCTTATCTTAGTGCATGGCAGGAGGATTTTTAGTCCTGAGCACAGAGCTTGCATCCCATGCAAAAGAGCTGTCCACGTTGATGAAGGAGCCAACCTCGGAGTAAAAACTCTTCCCGAGTGTAGCATTTTCAATTGAATTGTCATAGACTGATTCCAGCTGCCCTGATCATACATTACCTTGAAAGATTTAATTTAGCCAGCAGATGCAGTTCTCATGGAAGCATATGATACATGCAGTAGTAGTGGAAACAGAAGAACACAAAATCCACTTTAAAACACTCCTTTAGTGTTGAGCTTTCTGCTCCTATTAGGTAATGATTAATAGATGCAGAGGGGGGAAAAAGGGGCCTTTATTATTTTCATCTGAGTGTTAAGAGGTGCTTTGTGAACAACCATAATTTCAGGGACCGCTTTGTCAGAAGAATTTCATGGATGGTAGTTTGTTAAGCTGATTAATTGTTTTAATTAGTCAGTAAAAGGCTATTTATGATGAAACACATGACACTTACAGAATTTGATCCTTCTCAGTCACAACAGTATATGACCAACCTCTCCTACCAGTAATTGCCTGAAACATACTTGGAAATTACATTTTATGAGGTTACCTTGAAAATTAACGTATACAATATTAATTTTATAGGTGTAAAGAAACCCATTCGGTCATGTCTACAGTCTTAAACCGTGGCAATAAATAACTGTAAAGGAAAATGAATCGTTTCTGTGAAGCAAAAAAACCAGGAGGCAGGTCCATAGAGAGGTGCCACCTTGCAGAAGTCTGTCCTTCTTGTTCTGAGAGTGATAAAGAAGTTGGGCTTGGTTTCTCATTATTTCCCAATGTTATTTCTCATCTCCCTCACTGAGGGCTGGGCAGAGCCATTATGGTACCACAGCCTTGGCTTGGCTCTCCTGCTGTGGGAAGGAAGTGCCCAAAGGAAACCCGGGAGAAGGAGAAATGCTGAATAAAAAATAAAGTGTTTCATGGAGGGAGGAGCAAAGGATGAATCTTCCACCCCCAGATCCAGAAGGGCCAGGCACTGTCCAGTCTTTTGGGCTCGATTCTCCTTTCTCCTTGTCTCTCCATGTGGTGTCCTGCAGGTACATACCCTGCAGCCCATGGACTGGTTGATGCCAGTGATCCAAATCGCGCTGATTTGAGAGTGGAAGATGATGGTGTAAAATAAGCAGTGCTGTGGCAGTTCCCAGGTGTTTGGAGGAGCTGTGCCAGGCTGGTGTTTGGCACCACGTTCCCAGTTCCCATCCTAAATTCCACCATCCCGAACAGCTTTAGGTTTGTCCCGTGCCGGGATGTGCTGGGCTGTATTTTCCCCTCCTGCCCACGTCTCACAGATGTCTGTCTGTCTGTCTGTCTCTCCTTTAGCTGCCACCCCCTGTCTGGAGAGTGCAGCTGCAAGGCTGGCTGGGCTGGGCTCTACTGCAACGAGACGTGTCCGCCGGGCTCGTACGGCGAGGGCTGTGCCCTGCCCTGCCCCTGCCACAACGGGGCCGACTGTGACAGCGTCAGCGGGGCCTGCTCCTGCGCCCCCGGCTTCATGGTGAGTGCAGCTGGGACTGCTGGGGGCTCACGACTCTCTGCACACCATTCAAGAGCGTTTTAACCCGAGTTCAAGTCGTGTTTGCACAGAAGTGGCCAATGCAGGTATTTGTCCCCCGTTCTTGCGATGAGTCCGCATCGTTCTCCTTTGAGCGGTGTTCAACTTACTGCCTCTGGCTGTGTGCTTAACACCCCTGCTGTAAGTTTATCACTGCAGTAAAGACGTGGTTTCCCATCCTGTATTCTAAGTCAAGGCATAACAAAAAGGATGTCAGCTTATTGTCTGCCTGGAAGAGCAGAGAAAGAATTCTCCTGGGCTTTTCAGCAGGTTCCTTGTCAGTCACGGTGTGATTTTAATAGATGGAGATATTTTAAAATGTTGCAAATGATAGAGCAATTTCTGTCTTTTCTGAGCCCGTGTGTGGCAGGTGTCTTTTACCTGAGCATCTGAAAGAGCTTCAGACATCCTGAGGTAAACAAGCACTGTGTTTTAGAGGTGAGATATAAAATGGCTGAAGAAACCAGCCAAGGTAAAACATCAAAAATTGGTGGATCCAGGTGTCCAGTCCTGCTACAGCTGGGCAGAATGGGTTCCTCACTGATAAGTTCCCTGGTCAGCTGTATATGAAGCCCCTCTTTGCTTCAGGAGCACACCGTGGAGGAGAAGTGCAGGCTGTGTTTAAGAAACGGTGCTTCCCAAAGGAAAAAAATTACTTTAAAAAAGAGAATTCCACCAAAATTCATGAGCAGTTGTCTTTCTGTGTTCTTAATTTTACATGATCTGTCCCCACAGGCCTATCTATGTGTTTTCTATATTACTATGAGTTGTAATTACTGAGTTTATTAGAAATCAAGGGACAGGCAGCACAGCTGTGTGACAGGATCCATGGTGGGTGGGTCCTGTAGGAGATCAGTGGGATGTTGAAGCCTTTTTAGCCTTCCTTCCTTCTAAATCCACACTGAGGTTGTGGATGATGCCACAACTGGCATCTCCAGAGCTGTGCAGTTGGAGTCATGGCTCAGAGACGCTTCTGTTCTCTGCTTCGTGTCAGCAGCTGAACCGGAAAGCTGGAGCTTCCCTCTCATTTCCAGGGGTTCTCTCAAGGCCAGGTGTAAAGAGATTTATTGAGGTGTGAGGGGCAGGGCTCAGAAGTATCTGTGCAAGATACCGCTGCTTAGAGGTGGAATGAAAAGAAGAAAAGGTCTTTAAGGTTTGATTCCCAGCTCACACCAACAGAAAACAAGGATTTATCTTCTCTGTGCGGTGGTGATAGACAAGTGCAGGAAAGATGAAGGAGGCAGCGTGTTAGTAACAAATACAAAATAAAAGATGCCAAGATCCTCCTTCTTATCAGGAATGCTGTTCAAGTGTGCAGCACAAAAGTATTTTGGGACCCTTTACTGCCCACATTTTCAAAAAGCATACCTTGTCCAATATATATTGCCCCAAGGCAGCATTTCTGCAGGCAGGAAGCCTGGGAAGTTCCTATTGCACTGCTTCAAAACAATATTTAATCTCGTAATAAAGAGCTTTCTTGCATTGACATTTAAACAGCTTGGTTATTGAGGATGGCTCTATAATCACTGAAGCATATTTAGGCATTAGTATCATTGCTCTCACATAATATACTATAATCTCTGGCAATTAGTCCAGGAGGGGAAGTAAAGCCTTGAAATTGCTAATTTATTGCCTCTGAAGCGTATTTGTCATTCGTGTGCGTGCCAGACGACTTGAGAGCTGCAGTGGTTCTTTCAGATGCTGCAGAACACAGGCTGTGCAGAAAACTGGGCAGGAACCTTCGCTTCCCACCCCGCAGAGTCCCACTGGGAATGCTCCTGGGAGAAGGTGCTGCCTGCAGGGGAGGTGGGAGATGCTGCGGGGCCAGAACCCTGCAAGTGCCTTTTTCTCAATGACACCCTCCAAGCCTGACTTTCCCTTCGGATCTTCCTGCCTGGCTCTTGCTGAGGCAGCAGGAGCTTTGCCTGTGGGTGGAATGTTGCCCTTGGATTGGGCAGGTGTGGGGTCCCTCAGTGCAGGACGTGTCCTCTGGCAGAGCTGAGGGTGGTGCTAATGCAGAGCCGGGCACAGCTCGTTGTTCAGAAGAGCCAGAAGTGAATCCCTCTTGCTTTTTCTGGCTTGGTCAGGAATTGTGCCATGTGATTGGAAAGAATAAAACCAGGAGCAACGTCTTACGTTGTACAGAAATGTTTGATCTGCAGATCTTTCAGAGCAGAGCAGGCTGAGGGGTTTCTGAGGAGGAGAATACGATGGGAGATGGGATACGACTGCAAAATTGATCTGCAAAAGCAGAGAGGTTGAACCCAGAGGCTTTGGGGAGTTCTGGGTGCCTGGAATACACAGTGCCCAAGGAAGGACAGTGTTTTCCTGACAAAGCACTCTCCATCCCGCTCCCCGGCACAGATGGTGTGTTTTTATCTGTGCCCTGTGTCAGGGCAGCTGGGCTGGGTTTCAGGATGAATCATCTGCTCTCACAGCCAAAACAGGGACATTTTGTTGGGATGCAGAACAAGCCATTAAAAACACAAAGCATCTGGTCACCTTTATTAAATGTATTAAGTGGAAAGGCAGCCATCCCATAGGTTGAGGTGGACGTGAGCAGAGCGCTTAATTTTTGGAAGTCAAGCAGATTCAAGATGTAAAATAAAAATATACCTTGTAGCTTAGGAAAAAAATACATTATTTATTAGCTGTGACATTTCCAAAAATTCAAATACCACAGCTAAATAGTGGTGAGCTTGCAGTTTTGGACGGAATTTCAAAACATTTTCTCTCTTCTTTTTTTTCCATGATTATTTTGGGTCAGACTCAACAACCAGATTTGCACATTTCTGGCTCTGAAACCTAATGGCACTGCTGTAAAGATGTTCTTGGGTATTGGTAGGGGGTGTTTGTGTGAGGTTCTGATGTGACTGTGCTCACATCAGGGGATGGCTCTGTTTTAACTCGGGGGGGGGGGTCGGAACCACAGAGCAGAACTGGGGGTAGATTTGAGGGAAAAAGTAGCTGAGAGATGTGAGTGATGCCCAGTCATACCCAAACCAGCCAGCTCTTGGAGGCAGCATCCAGGGCAATGCAAATAGGATAACAGGAGTAGAGGAGCCCCAAGGGAATGTTCTTCCCCCAAATCACAGAGCTGCTCCCCATTGCTCCAGCAGAGGAGTCCACACCAGGGGCCTGCTGGGAACGCTGTGCTTATTGTGAAGGGAGGAGAGAGGCTGGATCAGTTTAACTAAGCTGACTGCAGGGAATCACCATTACCAGCACACCAGCAGGGCACTTCCCTGGAGCTGGTGTTTTACCATATTTAAGTATTGCCTCTCAGCACTGATGTGATGAATTGCCTGTGATGCTCTTCCGGGCGGTTTTGCAGAGCCGTTTACTGCCATCTCATTTGTGGCAAGAAGGAGCCTGGTAAACACACCCAGGGAGTGCACAGATTAGCCTTAAAAAGTACACAGGGAGAGTCTTCACTGGTGCAAATTGGATCCTCACTCCCACATGCAAATGGTTGTTCCTCGCAATAAATTACTTGGATGCGATTAGAGGGATGGTGAGAGGGGTTTTACTGACTTGTACCTCCCCCTCCTTCCAACTCCTGCTCCAGGATACTCTTCTACAAGCCCACTGGACTCAGTTGTGCAGGAGGGGCATAAAAGAAATCAGGACTTGCCATGTCTTCTTTTCTTTTGTTTTTGGTTCATTGAATTTCATTCCTGTAATTCAATAAATGTGTTGAAGAAGGCCAGAGGATATGAATTAAATATGACAGGAGACCACAGGAATCCTGACCTTGTGTCTCACAAGGAAATCTTGAAACCAACCCCCTGCACGTACCTATCAGCATTTTAGCTGCTGAAATCATTATAAATGCTGTTGAAAATACAGCTAAATTCACTTTCTCTGTTGCACAGCTAATTGCAGCTTCCCCGAAAACAGCGGCTATCTAGAGACCTCATCCCGTGATGTGCCTTTGTTTCTTTATGGATGCTTTGTTTTCTTCTTTTGAAAAATGGGTTTAACTTCAAATGCTTTCCTTCTGTCTGTTGTGGCAAGGAGGGATGTTGTTAAAACACGGCTCAGCCCCAGACACTCGGAGAAAACTTTGAGCCACGTGCGGTCAGCTTTTACTTCAGCGGGCTCTCAGGCCCGTATTTCGCATCCAGATGACAGAACCTGTATGACTTTAAAGAGTTCATCTATTTATGCTGCTCTTTTTTGAAGGCCTGTCTGCTTTTATTGAGCCCTGCACGCTGGCAGGCGGAGCGGGCACTTCATCTCCCGAACGAAAGAATCCCTTTGGACATTTCTCTGTTCCTGCAGTGGGAGATCCCACGCAGGCCAGTCCCATCCAGCAGAGTATGGAAACTGCAGCTGTGCTGACCTCTGACTAGGAGATTTTTCAGCTTTGGGAATGTTTGTTTGGATTCCCTAAGACCCTCCCAGATTTATCCCAGCGCCATGCGTCCGTAGCCATTCCCATCTTCTATTGGCGCTGCGTCAGAATTGAGTTTTAAAAACACAATTAATGCCTTTCAAATATATAATTCCTTACAGAAGTGCTTGTGGGTTTGCATCTCTGGCTGGGCTCAGTGGGAATCTGGGCACTTAAGAACTGAAACACAGGCTTGATCTGGGTCTGGAAGTCCATAATTTCGTCTGGCACGCCAGAATTTCTCAAGATAATGTTTTCTCTACCGCAGGGGTAAAAATTGCTGCCAAGGTTTACGTCAGAGTAAGAGTTTACAGCCTGCCTGCACGCTGGAGGTAAAGTCAGCCCCTGGAACACTCAGTTAACCAGGGCTGGAGCACTTAGTAAAAATAAGTAGATATTATAGCGCTGTAAAGCCGTTCAAATGCACAGCAAGTGTGCAACAAACTTTGCATGGGATGATCTCTGAGTCACTGCAGAGAGACACACACAGGCCAGTCTTGGCCTGCTCTGGTCCTACTCAGTGAGTGAAATGACCAGGTTACTCTTC